AATTCAATTAATTCATGACTAAAATACACCCTTTACAAAATAAAATGGTAACGGAATTTTTAATATTTGCTCCATGCAGACGGTCTTTTTTCTTGATAAGATTGGTAATTAAACTTGTTTAAAACAGACACCGAGAAAAAGAATGACTAAACAGTTTTATCCTTTGTACTTTCTCATATCTGAAAAAAAATTTTAAAATTTAAAAAACAGAGCAGACTTTTGTTAATCGGGACGGAAATCATGCACTTTGACCCAGTTATTGTTTCTGTAGTGTAGTGTACTCATGGAGAGTAGTATTCTGACGGTAGTAATGGACTCACGGGAAGTAGTATGCATTCAACTGCCTCATGGGTAAGAAATGTAGCTATTTATAGTCTTTATGACTTCATATGAATCACCTCATCTTGCTTTATTGAAGAGGTTTTATTCTTTTATTTTCCCTGATATTTCTCGGAGTTTGTCTCCTCAGTATCTTCTTCCCTATCCCGAAGAGATAGTCTAGATATGGGAGATCTTGATTTTTCTTTTTTCGCAGGAGTGTCCCTCCAACAATTGTTCTTCCTCAGTATGTATCTTACTCATGGTTTCAATTACTACTACTCCCATCAAGTACAGCTTAGAACTACTACTACTTCTATTCAATATAACTTAGAATTTAAACAGAGAAAACATGCTAACAACATAATAATTGAAAATGGCTAATGGATTGACCGTAAACAACTGGAACAATAATCATCGATGAAAAGTTTATACACACTCTTAGATTCCAATAGAAAAATTGAATTAAAAAAAATATAATTTATTCCTTGTCTTCCATATCCCAAGAAACATACAGTGTAACCCGGATGTAAGTGAGTTGTCGGGACCGGAGAAGTAGTATCTTATATCCGGGTTTCTCTTATATCCGGGTTTGGTCTATTTTATATACATTAACACAGGCTCTAATTTGGGACCGGAGAAAATCTCTTATATCCGGGTTACACTGTATATAAAAGGAAGATTACTGGCCTGATATACATATGATATATAACTGACCACAACGAAAAACTCTACAATTATTGACTTAATTATAGAATTTTCTTGAGGATCGAGCTGATTCTAAAAGTTCTAGTTTTACGACTTCATAATATTAAAAACAAAAACAAGTATAAATGCCTTTCTTTTAATTTTCAAGCTGAATGTCGACCCAGAAATAAAAATAGATGTTATAAAGTATTCAATCAACCGGGCTAAAGTATTGTCTTCATCCCACACGTTATTTAATTAAAAAGTTAAAACCATAGAACGACACTTGATAACAAAAATTTCCCAAACGGTGTCATGAATGAATAAAAAAAGTAACTTCAAAAAATCTTTAACATAACATTAAAAAACAATCCTGATATAAAGAAAAATAAAATCTTACTTAATTCCATTGTAAGCAGGTACATCTTAATTATAAAAAAATATGAATAAATTTTAATTTATAACCTGAAGGTACATAGATAGTGTAATAAACACCTACGATTTATCATTTATTACAAAAATATTAAAACATTTAGTCTAATTATTATTAATAAGAGGTATGGTGGAGTAATGGATAGCGGCTTGGATGGAGGAATTGGAGTTCGAATTCCAGTCGAATCCATTACATTCACTTACGTGGGAAAAGTGTGAATCCTCTTTCTTCTCCCTCCAGCTATGGGTAAATAGCAGGACAGGCTGGGTTCTAAAGCCTTGGATGGCAACTGGTCTAGGAGAAGGAAAACTGAATTTTAGAGGAGGGTGAATGGAGTCTCTGAGACTTGGTTGGCAATCCATTTAGTGTTGATGTCACGATAAAAACACCCTTGATAGCCCTAGCGAAGCATCAAGAATTCAGCTATTTGACAAGATTATGAACTACAATCAAAGTATTACCGAGTTCAATCTCGGCTGAGGCCGCAAGATGATTATTAATATCACAGGACATCATAAATGAAGTTTTCATAAAAAAATGTTTATAAATTACTGTGTCTAATTGGAGATTGTATCAACAGCTCTAAAATACAAAATAGTATCTAATATTGGTTATACAACCATTACAATCTCTCGCAGGTTAATTAGCTACTTATAAAAACCTAATAAAACGTATAGATTTTGAACAACACATCACATGACTATTAAACTTTCTAAAAGTAATAATGACTTGATCTTTAATCGGTGTCAAATTTTGTGACCCGTAATTTATAATTGTTCTTTTTTTAAATTTAGAATGTATAACTCTTTCAGATTTATTCTGCACATAACATCACTTGTATTCGATACACGTAAATTAGACTGTTCTAAAAGAAAAGTTGTCGGATGAAGCTAATAAAACTAGGACTATTATAGTTAAATCAGAAAGAGTCAGTTAGCATTTCTGGGATACAGAAAGTAATCGTCCAAGAGGTGATTGAATAAACGGATGACAGTCATCTAGAGAGTGGAGTCGTAAACAATGAAACGTTGCTTCGAGTAACAAGAGACCGGAAGTTGCGGAGAGCCACGACCTAGAGAGACATCAAATAAAATAAAAAACCAATTACATTAAAAGACATTATAATAAAAGTACTTGAAAGTATTCGAAGAAAAGACATTATGAAGTTGGCGACCGTCTGTAATATGTAGCCATTCAGAACCTGTAGCACATGTGTAAAAATGTTCATTTGACTAATATCGCCAAGATCGAAACACTACCGAAACATTGCAAACAGCTTGGACAGTGGTTCTTCGAAATTATTATCCAATCATTCAAAAGCTCACAATCCGATCTCTCTCAAACGGCTCTAATTGAACTAAATCAAAACGTGTCTGTTTTCGTGGCATGGCACCTGATCAAACTATTTTAAAACAATGAAACTTACCACAGTAGGCGTCAGCATCTAAAGTACGCACAATGTCTGTGCACTGACTGGATTACTGTTGCGTTACACACTGGTCGAAGAAATTTGATCGGTAAATACACAATCCACTAGCATGGATATATTCTACTTAAGTCTAAAACATCGTCATTCAAATAATTATTTTGTAATCCCTCCCATACCCGCTATATATATATATATATATATATATATATATATATATATATATATATATATATATATATATATATATATATATATATATATATATATGTGTGTGTGTGTGTGTGTGTGTGTGCGCGCATTATTATTACTTCAAACGCTTATTTTACTGAATAGCTGTGTTTGAATAGATACCTCCTTTTATGAAACAATGCGCATTCCGTCTGCTATTCTTCACACTTGAGGGGGTTGACCTGCGCTCTACCTAATTTACCTATTTAACGGTGGAGTAATGGATAGCGGCTCGTATTGAGGAATTGGAGAGCCGAGTTCGAATTCGGTCGAATCCATTACTTTCACTTATGTGCTAATAATACCCTTGGGAAAGATATGAATCTTCTTCTCCCCCAGTTATGGGCAAATAACAGGACAAACCAGATTCTATAGCCTTAGATGGCAACTGGTCTACCGCAAAAAGAAATAGCAACCTGCTCCGGGAACAAAAAAAACTGCCTCGTCAGTTATGTATGGCACGTAACTGACTGAATTTATTTAATGGGACTTCTGAGAATCAACATCCACAAGCAGTAGATTTTTTTTTTAAATGACTTTGACCAACATGATTTCAAAATTATTTAGTTCTCTAAACATTTTTTAGAGGGTAAACTTGTTTGATTTGCTAACACAGTTTTTTTTCAGTGAAATTAATAAATACCGGCCTAGATTAACAAGTCTTACTATAGAAAAATTGTGCAGCCGACAGGAATCGAACCTGTATCAATTTTTACAGTGTTATTTAATAATGTGTGATATATAAACGTAAGGGGGATGATTTAGGAAGTGAAGATTGCAAAGATATGAAGAATATATAACTATTGACTCTAGCCTTGTAGAGATTAAGATTGTATTGTTCAGAGAAGTATCCAACTAGAGCTTCTGTTTTGTAGAAGACGCTATCAGAGTAGAACGCCCTCTTTATCAAAGAAATACGAGCTGAAAACGAGTAATTCAACCATGCGGACTTAGCAAGACAGGTATTGGCTGTATAGGCCTGAGTTGGTGGCACTAAAGAATAGAGCTCGTCGGAACATTTGCCAGGGAAGAAGCGATAGAGAAGTGTTGTGGAGTTATTTCGCAGTGGAGGCTTGTATTTGTACTAAATCGGTCCTAAAATAGGTTCGACGTACAAAACGTTAGGAACTTGATATAATAGGCATTACGCAGAGTAATCTAGTTGTGGTCGCTGATACTTTCGTATTCGACTAACTGTCGTCCGACATTGACTCACTGACTGACTGACCGCCTACTTATTATAGACGGGAGAGTCTATTAACTATAGAATAGGTGTGTTCCCCCATAACGAGAAGTGATAGACTTGCGACGTTACGTCCGTTGGAAAAGATGTTGTATAGTGAAAACTTGTATTTGCCTATTGTATCATTCAGCATGTTCCAGATAATGGGTGGCAAATCAATTTCGAAACTTGCTCTCTAATTCATAGAATTTTCTCATTCCGCTGTTCATATTGGAGCCTAATAAACAGAAATTCTCTGTTCGATCTACACCATTTCACGATTTCTTAAGGGAAAGAATCGTAAAATGTCAACACGACCTTCGAAAAATACCTGGACATCGTTATGTATTCTTTGTACTAAGAGAAAATAACTGTAAATCTCAACACTAAATAAAAGCAATAAAAAATAGAGAAAAAAAAATTGTTCTCAAAGAAACCGCTTTTTGCTGCTTTTGCTTACAATTTTTTATAACAACGGCCAACGCCAGCCTCTTACGTTGTCCCCTGCACAGATCATGTCTTTCTCCAGTGTCGACCCTTTATTTGTGTCTCACCAAACGCGTTGTCACGGGGAGACGGAAGAACAAGAAGACTATTTCTATAAGACTGACTGTTCGTGCATTCTGCTGTAATTTGGCACAAAACGAATTAACAAACGCAGAAACGATGTCACGGAGAACCATGTCTGCTTTCATAGAATATTATCCGTTCATTGACGCCTCTTTTGAATTAGTTTTATCTTAAACTACGATGAGGTTGCAGTCAGATTTGTTTATCGCTAATATATCACTTTTTTTTTGTTTAGAAACAAAAATGGCAGAACGTGATTCCTTCTTTTATGCTCTTCAGATTCCTTACTTAGATTTTCGTGCAGTGTTTAAAGATCCTGCGAGCGTGATCTTTACCTGCCAAGCAAATTTGCGAACGGCACAAAAACTCCTCGCCGTATTTGAAAGCTGAAAGGAACCTTGATCGTTAAGAGACTTGCATTTTGTTTCAAGAAGCGATGTAAGTAGCTAGTTTTTGTTTTGTGTTGTTTTCCAGAATAAAGCAAAGAAATTTTCATTCTCAAGAACTGAGAATTTGAACTCGCTGTCATATTTCTTCTTTTCTGTGTCGGTTCCCTTCAGGATCTAGGCAACCATGCGAATTAACTCTCTGTCTTTTTTCGCTCAAAGCAAATTTTGACCATTCTCCATCCCTTTTTGGCCCTTGTCTACCATCCTTTCTCACAAAATAATTAAGTAGGTGATCATGGCCCTCCACATTTTCCAATATTTTGTTGCACTAATTTTGACTCTTTACCATCCCTCTGTGTCTCTGTTCTGTCATCCTTTCGCACAAACCCATTAAGTGATCATGACCCTCCACGACTTTCTGTCTTTTGTTCTGCTAACTTGTAATAATTGACCATCCCTCTATGTCCGTGTTATGCCATTCTTTTACACAAAGTCATTAAGTACGTGATCATGACTCTCCCCAATTTCCTATATTTTTTGTGTACTAAGTAAATTTTGACTACTTACCATCCTCCTTTGTCCTTGTTCTGCCATCTTTTCACACAAACTCATCAAGTACGTGATCATGGCTATCCACAACCTCCAATATTTTATTGTACTAAGTAATTCTTGACTAATTACCATCCTCCTTTGTTCTGCTATCTTTTCACACAAACCATTAATTATGTGAACATGATTCTACACAACATTCTATATTTTGTTACTTTAAGTAACTGTGTCCTTGTTCAGCCATCCATTCTCACAAAATAATTAAGTAGGTGATCATTGCTCTCCACAACTTCCTATATTTTGTTACTCTAAGTATTTTTTGACTTTACCATTCCTTTTTCTCCTTGTTCTGTAATCTTATCACATATCTATTTAATACTAGCAGTAGAGCCCGACGTTGCCCGGGGATGTAACAGTAAGAGATAGATCAAGTATCGACCATCACAAAGACTGAAAAATAAAATTGACAAGGATTGTTGTTTAAGGTTGACGGACACGCATGTCTTAATTAGTTTTTTTTTTTTTAGCTTTTTTTTTTTTTACGAATTGGTCAAACCCAAACTCAAACAAAAACATTGTTTTCAATCGTTATGAGTCTACCGATTGAATAGAATTTTAATATAAACAATTGTCTTGTAAATGAAATTTTTAAAGCATTCTGAATGTAAAAATAAAGAAAAAAGTGTGCAAGACAATAAGAAACATTACCTTATATATTTTAAATTTTATTAAGTGAAGTTTTGTTGAAATCGGTTGAAAAAAGTAGGAAATCTGATCCAATATATAAACGAACACACACACACAAACAACCTGGGTTTTATAATAAGTATAACTCGATATGAGTTGTCCTCCTTTCATTCTCGCGACAGCGATGTCTCTTAATCGTGTTTTCACTGCTCCAAAGAAAAAATATATATGCAGCAAGGAGAAAGTTGAATGAAAAGAAAACACGAGAGACCTTACACGTGTTTTGTTTATATGTGGCTGTGTATCACGTGGGAGTCTCAGATTAAAAACGCGGGAAAACAGAGTTGTCGCGTGCAGGCGGTTTGATTGGTCGTAACTGACCAATCAGCGAACTAGTTTTTAGTAGATTGACCAATGAATGCTTGTCGCATGATTTCTATGTACTGTGTGTATGTAATGTGGTGGTGTGAGTCTACAAACTTCTTGATGTCATCAGTTCTAAACTCGTTATCTATTGCTCCTGTTTCAATAGTAAGTTATTGGTCGGATAAGTTTAAATTGGCAACTGATCTATAAAAAAAAAATAACTTACTGTTATATCTCGTGCAAGATATAATAAACAAAGTAAACCCGAGTGTGGTTTTCAATAATAATTTTATAATCGGATGTAGGTATGTCAAAATACAGAGAGAGTCTGTAAGCTAACCGCAATAGGTGTTAACAAACGAAGACCTTTTTCTTACTGTTCGCTGTGGTCGTACTTTATCGGCAACCAGTCCGTCCATTATCGTGAATGGGGAAGTTGAGTTATCTCATCACAACACTTACAATTTGTTGTTAACTACGGTAAGCAATGCCATTTTTAGTTTTAATAACTCCAAAACGAAACTTCTCTCTTTTTTCTGGGAGATTCCTTTTGGCCTTCTATTAGTATGTGTTATACTGGAACACACCTATTCTATAGTTAAAAGACTCTCCCACCTATAATAAGTAGTAGTAATAGCAGTCGCCAGTGAGCTCAGAGAGTTGGTGAGTCAGTCGATGTCGGGCATTAAAGTATCAACCACCACAACTAGATTGCTGCGTCATTAACTATTATTTCAAGTTCCTAACGTTTTGTACGTCGAACCTTTTTAGGACCGACTTAGTGAAATACAAGCCTCAACTGTGAAAACTACTCTATAACAGTATGGCTGGTGCAAACCTCCAAGAAAATGACTCATTGCACCTTCTCAAGCTAGCTTTTCCGTTGATATGGAGCGGAAATATTATATAAAATCAATTGCTCGCTTTGCCGCTAGGAAATTTGGTTCACTGTATCGTGCAAGACAAACTTTCTCGACAGAATCTATTTAAAACATTTATGTCTACCATTCATATCCGTACTTTGAATATTGCTGCCACATCTGGTCTGGTGCTTCTGCTACGTATCTAGAGATCATTGATAAAACCCAAAGAACAATCTATAATGTTATCCTGAGCTGGCATCTCGGCTTTCCTGGTGCCGTAATATAGCTTCCCTGTGCCTTTTCTATTAATACGTTTATGGCACCTAGAATTTATGAATTTTAGCGCAGTATTACAGGGTGATTGAAAAGTGAGACGAGAGTTACGTTTCCATCACCCTGTAGATTAGAAGCAAGGTCTCGTCAGTTTACCGTTAATGTTAACAGCTTCATCTCTCGCACTTCTCACTTGTGTAACTCTTTTGCAGCATCTCGTTTTCCAGTCAACTTTGGTCTTCAAACATTTAAATGCAATGTCAATCGTTATTTTATGTTTTCTTAATTCATGTTCTTTTATTATTCACTCTCCTTAATAGTGTTTTTTTTTATTTCTCATAGTCTCTCACACTCACGTCTTAGAGGCTTTATTACCTTGATCGGAGTAAAATTATTAAAAAAAATTCTAAGTTATTAAGTTTAGTTTTAGCCGTGAGTGTTGAGGTACATACATAGGTTCGAACTCACGTCGAGATTACGCTTGTCATTACTCTAAAATCAGGCTGTCTATTCAGTAAGAATACTCCTTAAATTCATTGTATGAACACGTATCAGCATGACGAGATAGGAAGTTGAAGTGTACACTTACAAGACGCATGCGTAATTTTATCGTGAAGACATGTGTGCTGGTGTTTGTCTTGTAAGCAGACCGTTCTTAGCTAGCAGTAAGACAAATAAATTGTTGGCCCGCTTCTATAAATCTGTTCGCAATGGCTGAGAATTATGCCGTAGGAAAAACAAAACTAAGGAAAGAGAAAGTGAGAAAAAAGTGCGAAGCCGTAGTCAAGTAAACAGAAAGCCTACAATAACAGAAAAGACTGGCACATCCCACAAAGTAAAAAGATTGTGTGTTGATTAGGAAATCGCTGTCAAAAAATGGAAAAGAAAATGAAGGAGTTCCGTAAGGATATCGCTTTCTTCTTAAGTTTTATTTTTAGCTGACCAAAACCTGATTATGTCTTATGAACTTACTAGCAACATGGCCCGGCGTTGCCCGTGCTTGATTCAAAAATCGTACGACTCATACAGCAATCGCTATCACTTGACCTCAAATATTTTTGCCCTTCCTTGCCTTTATAGGAGTGCCCTTTGACGTGCTGATGTTGCTACATGCCTTACTTCTTGCCTATTTCACACTGCGAATTTTTTCTAAGCTCTATACTAAACATTAAATATGTTACGAAAAAAGAATTAAAAAAATGAACACAACAAACTACATGAAAACTGCCGTAGAAGCATGGAAAAATCGATTATTTCCACTATCGATGGGAGTTGGGAAATGTAAAGTCAGTCTTGGACTTCCCGCTAACTTGGAGCATGTGCATGTAAATTTTGGTGGAAATCCGCCGAAAATTGCGGCCGTGCATTCGTTACACACACACACACACACACACACACACATCCTGCCTTTTATAGATAAAGACGAATAAACAAATTAAGTTTTGACTGAAAATTACCAACAATTGCTCGTGTATGAGTCGATCTAATGTAGACATCCACTCTCGGATATTTAACATTCAACGCGCAAATTCCAACGTCTCCGTTTGTACTGCGAATTTTTAGTCACTAATTATTATTTTTATTTTTTCCCTCTCCCAATAGGAGCAGGTAGGTTCGCCTATCATCCGGTTCGAACACCTCCCTGGTTCAAATCTGTCCTTTTAAAATCTATGCCTGAATTCGGAAATTTTTTTCACTTATTTATTAGTTTCTTTTTCATTCCCTTCTCTCCCAATTTTCAGCATAATTCTGTAGGACCAAACTTTTATTGCTTCAAGTCTCTTCTTCATCCGTGATTTTCCATCATTATCTGCCATATCAAAGGACCGATATTACATAAGATTTCAGTACTCTTTTCTTTTTTTCTAACGAAATTTTCTGTTTCTTAATACTTTGCTTAGGTTTTGCAAGACATCTTTCTCTATTCCAGTGTACCTTCGGATTCCGATGTCGCATATTCCGTAACTATATTTAAATTTATGTTCT